TATTTAAAATTGCCTGGATACTATCTGACCTTGTTTGCACTGGGCTGGACTTAACTGGTGATTCCTCCTGAATTTCTACAAAGGAATGCTAACCTGGTTGGAGAGGAGATGTAGGTCCTTAAACCTTATTGACGTGTGAAAAACATCAGGTGCCTATCTCATAGAATAAAAGAGTGGTGAAAGCTGCTGCATGAGGCTTGGGATAGGGGAGGGAAGGTGGCAAAGCTCTCTGTCTCTGAGAGGCATAAACGTAAGAGATTTAGTCCTGCTAAGGAACTGGATGACCTCAAAGTAGGTATTTTATTTCTTTGGGCCTCAGTCACTGGTAAGGAACGTAGGATACTTTATTTATTTATTTAAAAGATTTGTTTAGGGGCACCTGGGTGGCTGAGTCGGTTGAGTGGCTGCCTTCCGCTCAGGTCATGATCCCAGGGTCCTGGGCTCGAGCCCCCCTTGCTCTCCCGGAAGCCTGCTTCTCCCTCTCCCACTCCCCCTGCTTGTGTTCTCTCTCTTGCTGTGTCTCTCTCTGTCAAATAAATAAATAAAATCTTTAAAAATAAATAAATAAATAAATAAAAGATTTATTTATTTATTGAGAAAAGAGAGAGCGATAGAGAGAGAGAGAGCGAGTGCATGATCAGGACGGGCAGAGGAGAGGGAGAGAGAGAGAATCTCAAGCTGACTCTCAGCTGAGCACAGAGCCTGACACAGGGCTCGATCTCAAGACTCTGAGATCATGACCTGAGCTGAAACCAAGAATGGGTTGCTCAACTGACTAGGCCACCTAGGTGCCCTAGGATACATTATTTATAAAGTTAATTCCAATCCTGTCTTTGAGTGGTACCATGGAAGGTCTCAGATTCAGACTCTCAGATGTAATTTCCATTTAAATTGGAAATCTCTCTGAGGTCTAATTTATATTCTATAAAATAGGGAGGTTTGGCTAAAACAGACTGTAAGATTTTCCCCAAGTCTAACATTCTTTGCTCCCATTGTAGTTTGGGATTTTTCCCCTTATTCTGGTGAAATTAAACATCTTAATTTAAAAAAATTTTGGAGGAGAGCATTTTTTATTTCTTTGAGGTTGTGGTCACACACACACACACACACACACACACACACACAATGTGAGGCTGTGTCATATACATTTGTAGATGTAGTATATGTATTTTGCCATTGCTGTACTAACTGCCTTGAGTCAGAGTATGGAGCAGAGATATATCTGTGTGGTTTGTTTTATGCTCTAAACCAGACAGTGAGAGGAAAGGAAATGACCCTTTTTTTGTGACAAAAAAGTGAAATCTGTCTTTAACCTCAATTCTGGTCAATTCATATTGCAGTATTTTTTTAAACTGTATTTCCTCTTCCCTTATTTCCCATTTCTTTGGTTTGTTTTAGGGTACCTAGGTGAATGATTCTGGCCAGGAAGCAATTCAGTCAGCTGAACTTCTCCAAAGGCCTGGTCACACCTGTGGCTTAACTTTGTGCCTCAGTTTCTACAAGTACAGAGAAATGGAGGAAATAGAAAGTACTACCTCCTTTCACCACCATGTTTGAGATATCCTGATAAAAGCTTCACAAAAGGGACTGAATGTTAATTTTTAACAAATGTGTGTGTTGGGGTTGGGGACAGGGCTTTTGAAAGATGCTTGCCAAATCTGCAGTCCTTTCTAACAAACTTCTAAAGGTGGAAACTCTTTGAGAAGAATTATTGGGAGAGACAAAAACGATAGCATAGCTGATTAATTCTGGGTTCAAATCTGATTTTTGACCAATTTAACATGATTCTCTTTTCACAAAAATGGTTCTTCTAAATTCAATTTGACAGACATGTATATTGAGTGTCTGTGGTGGATCAACATCCTCTCCCTGAGCCCTTTATACCCACTGTTCTATTTCAGTCTCATATCAACCCCTTGAGGTAGCTATTCTTTTCCCGACCTATGTCTAAAGAAATGGAGTCTCGGAAATGTTATGAGACTGTCCCAAAGTCACACAGAACAAGTTGGAATTTGTTTGTTTATTTATTTATTTTTCAAAGTTGGAATTTAAACCCCTGTATTCTGTCTTCATCTCCTTCCTCATTCCCCAATAGGGTAGTTGTATGGTACAGTGGGGAAATGGAGGAAAATATATGAATTTGAAAAACCCAGTAATAACATTTTTTATCATCATATCATATCATCAGTATACCTTAAACTTACACAATGTTAAATGTCAGTTATGTCTCAATAAAGCTGGAAAAATTATATTTATTTGAATATACATTGACGCTACCTTTGAGATTTAATTTGGCTTTTTATCCAAGTATAAATCATCTGCTGTCACAACAAAAATTGTGAGAAATCAAAGTAGTGGAAACTTTCTAATTGCTTAGAATGGTTTTGTATTTTCCCTTTTTGTGGAGTGGCTTGTGGAAATCTAGAATTATTCTGGAAATAAGGTCAAAAGAGTTGACCATGACTATGAAGAGCACTAGGCCTCATCTTACCCTGCTATGATCTGGCTATATGAAAAATGGCTCATAGTCTTCTTTTTAATGCTGGATAAGGGCTTCTTTAGAAAAATTAACATTCTCCCACGTGTGTACTTTGGGGGTATTCTTGTAATTGAGATGACCCTTGTTAGTGGTGAGATCCTGGTAATGTCTCAGTGGTCCAGTTTGATGAAGTGATCTATCCTTGTTTATGAGAAGTTAAGGCAGACTGAGGTTGATTTTCAAAGAATTCAACTTTATTTCAGAATTTCCCCCAGAATAGCGAGTAGAGTATTTGGGCACCAGTTCCTTCAAGGAACTCAGAATCACAGAGGCCTTTTACACATGGAATGATGCTTTAATGTTGAAGAATTGTGAACAAGAGTGCTTCTTTAATCACTTGCTTTTACCTGTCCAAAGTGGTCTCTCTCCTTCTTGCATTCCTCAAATTCTACTTATTCTTCCAGACATATCTGAAATCCCACCTTGTGAGGCCTCTGACCCCACTCCTGTTAGAGATTATATGTCCTTTCTTAAATTCTTTGCTTTTCCCCCATTCATTCGTCAGTTAATTGTTTGTGGAGCTTGGATACCTCATCCACTTACATATGAAACGATTATCTGGGTATTTTATTGTTTAACTTTGTGTGAGCTTGTATTTTATCTCCTTCACTAGATTAGTTTGGGGCAAAGAAACTAATTTAATTCCTTGGATCACTCAAGGCCTTGAAGATATCTGATACTCAGTAAACGTGTGTTTTTATTAGATTTGATTAAATTACCAAAGAGAAAAAATGGGCAAGAGTCATGAATTCTACCCCTAGGAAATAGATTTACTCTGCTTTCTTAGTAATTGCTTCTTCCCTCAGAAGAAGTTAGCTGTGAATTAGGTGTTTCCTAGTTCCTGTGTGGACCATAGTAACATGTGTTCTTTTGTGGGTGTGTGGCTTGAAGATTTTTAGGGAGAAGAAATCAACTTGGAGAGGAACAAAGAAGAATATGTTTTGAGAGTCTTAAAGGAAAGTGGTTAAGAAAGTCAACATTTTAGGGACATATTTATGATATTTATACTTATATTTATATTTATGATGGGTAATAGGGTAGTGAATCTAATGGAAGAGTCACTTGTAATCTGTCCCTTACTCCTGGAGTGGCTCTAAAAATGTATTTCCCCAGTACATTTGGGATTGGATTAAATGTCTTAATTGGAACCTGCTCATTGTAGGTTATTAAGAATACTGGTAATCAGAGAGCAGAGGTGCACATAGTGTGATTAGAGACCACCCGCTCAAGTAGGCAGGTAGCCAGTCTCCCAGGAAATCTGTTTCTGATAATTGTGTGGAGGAAGATGAGGCCAAAGGGTGGGTTCTGGACATGCAGAACTTGTGTCCTCTTCCCTTGAAGGCCTCAGGCAGTGATAAATAATTAGTCACCACGAAGCACCATCAACTTGTTTGCTCAAATCAATGAATATTCCCATTTCCACTGACTCAGTGGGAAAAAAGATCACATGTTTAAAAAGAGGGAGGGACGAATTTTGCAGTTTATTACAGTGTTTTTTTCTCTACTATTTTATTACGATGTTCACACATACAGGAAAGTTGTAAGAATTACACAGGGAACACAATATACCCACTTAGGTTCTACAATGAATATTTTGCTATAATTATTTTATTATCTATTTCTCCAGTCTTCTTTCAGTCCATCTTAAGAGTAGCATTCTATGAGTTTTGACAGAGGCTTTTGCACATGTGATCCAAACCCCTATCCGGCTATAAAATATAATATCCGTTTCAGAAAGTTCCTTCATGTTCCTTTCCATATAACCCCTGCTGCCACCCTACCCCCAGCAACAACCACTTTCCTATTTCTTTTATTGTAGATTAGTTTTGCCTGTTTTAGAACTTTGTCTGAGATTTCTTTCACTCAAATCATATTTTTGAGATTCATCCATGTTTGTTGTGTATATCCATTTTTGGGGGGCTCGATTTCACAACCCTGAGATCATGACCTGCGCTGAAATTAGGAATTGGATGCTTAAACATCTGAGCTATCCAGGCCAGGCACCCCTTGTTTTGTTTTTAAGTAGGCTCCATGCCCAGCATGGAGCCCAACATTGAGCTTAAACTCATGGCCCTGAGATCAAGATCTGAGGTGAGATCATGAGGTGGACCCTTAACTGACTGAGCCACGCAGGTGCCCCTCATTTATTTTTTAAACCAAAGTAATCTCTGTTAGTATTTAGGAATTCCTGGGTTAGCAGCCTCTTTGGAAAGCAGTAGGGAAAATAAAGGATTTTTTTGTTTGTTTGTCTCTTTGGTTTTTAAAAAATGCAAATTGAAATGGACCCTACTGACAGCTACGTTGGCCCCTAATATTCCCTAAGAAGTGGTTGAGGACCAGTGATTGCTCGGGGTCATGTAGACTAAGCTGAAACTGGAACCCGAGTCTCCTGACTCACTGCTCAAAACAGTTAGAAAGGCAGCTGAGTGGGGTGGTTGTTTTGAGCTGAAGCCATGTGAGACTAGAGAGTTTCGACAGAGCTTTGCCTTAGAGGATGTGAAACTACACTAACCTCATGTGACAAGGAATCCTTGGAGGCCTTGGTGTGAAGCCAGGGGAAAAAGTTTGATGCAGCTTCTGGTTACAGCTCCGAATGAGAACTCACTGGCCCTAGGTGACTTATGGTGAGCTTTCTGATTTGCAATAAAACAAGACATGGGACGGGGGAGGCTTTTCTACACTAGCATGCATAGACAGGGTAATGCTGAAGGAACAAAAAAAAGCCAAGAAAGGCACCTTCAGCTACATGGCCTTCCCATAGGAAGGGACCTGGAGCTGAAAATAAAATACGGAGGGAGGGATGCCATGGTACAGACAGAGCCTTTGTCTCCTATTCAGCCCAGGATGACAATGACCTGGCGGTGCCTGCCTGCCAGCTGTTGGCTGGCCTTTGTGAAAGTCCCCAATTTCTGGGCCAATGCTTAGTGGGCAGGTATCCATTTCATGAAGCCAACTGGCACTGCTGGCACCTTTGTTGGTGCAGTGAGCCCAGCGACAGGGAACTAAGGCTGCCGGGCCACTTTTGCTACCAGCTGGCAGGTGCAAACCCCATGCGCAGGTACCCTGCAGAGAGAGGGTTGATGTTGTCTTGGTAACTGGTCAAAAAAGGATGTTTCTTCTTCAAGGTCAGTTTGACCTCTTTTCTGCCAGGGGAATATTGTGAGGAAGAAGTGACTCTGTGGCAGCGAATGTGTGCCTCGTCTGTTTTGAATGTATTATTCCAAACTGGATCTTATTAATGTCACCTGCTGGGCAGATCTGGGGGTTGGTAGACTTCTTGGGGGAAGTCATCCTGGACGAAGATCAGGTCATCAGAGAAGTCCCAGAAGAGACGATCCAGTGTAAACCAAGTAGGACTGAACAAAGAATTCCGAAGGCGTTTCTAAAAGGCAGCCAGTCAGGTTTGACTGGTTTGTTGGTCTATTCCAGGATAAGAGATTAGTGCTGACTGTTTGAGGCATGTCACCCTAGATGTCCTTTGGCCAAACTGTCTTGGGCACAGGGGTGAAGGGACCTTTGTCAGCTTGCTGGGTGCCTCACAAATTTGACACAATGAGTTCATTGTAAAGAAGCAAGCTTTCCTTATTGTTGTCCTTCTCTATGTAAATCTTTCACCTTTAGCAAATACATTTTTCTGACTTTGATTTAAAAGTCCAGTTTCTCCTTGATATTAGTGGCTCTGATAAAAGCTGTGTTCTGATTCAGGTCATTGGTTGGGTGTCAGTATTTTCCCTATTTTGCATCTCTTGTGTGTATTCACACGGTAAGGTCCCCTTTCCATGGCCTGAGACTTCTGTTGGGAGAAATAATAGCATTATAACAGTGTGGGGAATTTTACTCTGTTCTGTCCACTGGGATGCTATCAAAATTATTCAGGGGTGCCTGGGTGGCACAGGCAGTTAAGCCTCCAACTCTTGGTTTCTGCTTAGGTCTGCACTCAGCGGGGAGTCTGCTGAGGTTCTCTCTCCCTCTGCCCCTCCCACTGCTCACTCTCTCTCTCTCTCTCTCTCAAATAAATAAATAAATCTTTAAAAAAAATTATTCAGCTGGGATGGCACCCTATCAGGGGAAATGTTAATTATTCTGGATAAATCCTGAACAACTAGCTTGCAAATATAAACGTGGACATAGTCCTTAGCCTCCTAATGTGTAAAATGAAAAGATTATAGATTAAATTATCTCTTTGGGCCCTTGCCAGCTAGTTTTCTAGGACTTTGGATTTTAATGCAAAAAAGAAAAGCTCTAAATAGATTCAACATTTAAAAAACTGATCTTGCTTATGAATTTTTACACTAGACCCTTGTATTCAGTAAATGTTTTAAATTCGTCCTCTAAATCTAGGCACTGGGGATATAGAAATAGATTAAGCATCATTTTCTATCCTGAAGGATCTCATGGTCCAATGGGGGAGGGATAGCAAGAAAAAATTGTTCTCAAAATTGGCAAGAGTTTGAAGGGAAAATTGTGCTTAGGAAAAGAAGTTATTTTTTGGTTTGGAAAACTACCTTTAAGGGCATATTTAATGTAGAAAGATGAGCCCCTGCCTCTTCCCCTCTGATTCCATCCCCACCCCCCCAGGGCCAGGAGTAGGGTGATGTGAAGCACTTGCCTTGGGTGCAGAAATTAAGGGGATGCCAAAAACCTTAGTGGTTAAGGTAAATACTATTATAATATAATATTTAAAGTCAAAAATGATGAAAAAATCCATGGTGAACAAAGTATGAAAATTAAAAAATAAAGAGAAGACCTGAACCCACATGTGTATAATCTTGCCTTGCTTTCCTCACCCTAATTCTGGCCCTGGTTCCAATAAAACTATAGAATTTGCCAATTTTGATTTTTTTAATACTAATGCACTAAAATATCTAAAGGTTTAGACAGAGAATTTTATAACAGAGTTTAGGGTTTGGAGGGTTGTCATTGGAGAAAGCCCTTGGGGGAGAAGGAGTCCCTGGAAGATGATGGTGAGTGTAGTCAAGAAATTCTTCATGGTAGAGAATGGCTAATGAATATTTATGAAAGAGATGACTAATAAAGGTTTTGAAGTTGTTCCTTATGCTGTGCTGCAGTTACCCCCTGCTCTCCTCCCTTCAGTTAAAAGTCAGATACATACAAGAATCCTTGAATTCATGCAGATTTGAGAAAAAGGAAGGAAGAAGGGTGGTGTCTAGCATGGGAAGAAGTGGTCTAGGGAGAGGAACCAGGCAGGATGTAGCAAGGCCTAGCTCAAGAGAAGCCTCACCCTCTGAGCTCCTTTGGAAAGTAGATGCAAAGGGTGTTGGGTCTGGATTTTGCAGGGCATGGGATGTAGCCTTGAGTTCAGGCAATACACGTTGGAGCCACACCTGTCAATCAATAATTATGTACTGGATTTTAGGTCCATTCACCATTCTTCTCCCTGCTTTCCTCTTGGGAAGCTGCCCTCTATGCACCACATCAAAGGACTCTCTTGTCTCCTGGCTTCCAGCTGGAATGGCCAATATTGAGCATCAGTAGATAATTGGAAGGAGGGAGGAGAGAGCATTGGCTCTTTTCCTGAGGGTTTGTTAATAGGCCAGTTGCATCCCTCTAGTGATCGCTGCAGCTTTCTCTCATCCTTTATCCAGGCTCTGGGAACCACTTTCTCCCATTACTTTTTCAGCCTAAGGGTGGTAACAGAGCCCCCTCTTATTTTCTCTGGGGTATGTACTATCTCTTGTAATTTCCTTATACTTTGCTTCTTTGTAAAGAGTCTCTGTAATAAACTCTCTTCAAATATAAGAGTGTTAATTGTCTCTTGCTGAGACCCTCCTGATACAGAAATGAGAAATACTAAGATGGATTGTTCAAAGTGTTAGAGGTTGACAGTAGGGGAAGCAACCAACTGTCCAGTGAGAAAGGAAGATGGGTGGGTTAAAGGGCTTTTCATGGGTGATATTTGAACTGAATGCTGTGGAATAAGATATTTCTCTGGGAGTATGGTAAGCCCCAACATGAAAACAGCCAGGCAGGTGTCCATGTAAGTAAACTCAATGGTCTGCATGGTCATAAAAGGCAGTGATTATCCAATGGGCTTTAAGAAGCATAGGAAAGCTTACACAATAACAGAGCAATCACCCATATTCCTGTAATCTCTGTTGATAATCTGGCATGCTTTCCTCCTGACATTTTACAATTGAAATCATACTCTATTTACAGTTTGGGATCCTGATTTTCTTTAACATTACATAATAAGCAATTTTCCCACAACTGAAAGAAGCTGCACATATCTGCTCCTTTTAGAGGTAGTAGAACAGCTTTAAAGAACAAAGTACTATTACATCATATAGATGTACTATGATTTTTTTAAAAAAATGCTCCAGTAATTTTGCATCTTTGTCATTAAAAAATTCTTTTTGCTTGCTTAACTAAAAAATTGCTACTAAAAAAACCTGACTAAAGATGTATCTGTGCTTCAGGATTGCTGAATTATTGTAGATTTTTTTTGTTTTGTTTTTTGTATTTTTTAATATCAAAGAAGATGGAGTTTTCCCTTGGTGGGTGGGAAGGAGAGGAAATGGTGCCTGGGACTCCATTCTGAGGGCAGGCCCAGTAACTTGACAGGAAAGGGACTCCTTATGGTTGGACATTAGCAACAGTGATGTCTGAATTAAATTTTATGCTGTAGTATAATTCCTTTCCAAAATTTCCCAAAGTGTTATACAATATGGTCCTATGTTGGTAATACCTTGTGTAAGGAAGGGGCAAGACCAGAGTATGTGTGAAGGACAAAGGGCTGTGGGGAGTGGACAAGAGGAGCAGATGGATTTGGAGGAGCCAGGAACAGGGTTTGGGGAGATAGGTGACTGTCAGTCCCCAGGAGAAGCATCCTGTGGCTGATCCTCTGAAGTACTGAGATGGGTACTAGACTTCTTGTGGTTCTAAGACTGCTATTTGGATATTAATGGAAAAGGTGATCCTGGAGCTTGGAAGTATAGTCCTTCCCATGGGAAGTAATAAACAAAGGCAGGAATGAATGAGGAGATATTATGAAGGAAGGATTTAGTGACATGTGGGAAGGTGCTGAGCATTAGAACTGGGTGAGGGATGTTATTTCATCACAACAGAACTGCAAAATGATTGAGTAGAGTACAAGATAATTTGAACAAGGTTGTTGGAAAGGGAGAGAGGTAAACTTCCTTTTGTAGGACTGAAATATGGCAAGGTAAGCTATGATCCAAGTTATTATTTGTAATAGGACCTTGTAGGAAAGGGATTACTATGAGCTCAAAAGCAATAGAATTACTTGAGTTTTCCTTCTAGTCGTTCATCCCATGATTAGACTAGTTCAAAACCTGAACTGTGAATTTTTTTTCCATTAAAATCCCAAAATAAGTGACTTATTTATTCTCATGTTATTATCCAATTCATTTTTCAGCTCACACTCAACCTCTTTGAGACATGAAGCTAGGGAATGGATTAGGAAAAACATCTGATTTGAGACGTGCTTACATTTTTCACATGACTTTGCCAGAAGGGGTTTCTGCTTCAAACTGAGACTTTCACCCTAGAGGTGTCTTAGCTGAAAATTCAAATCTGCTTTGCAAGAATTTGGATATGGGATTCATGCTATTATCTGCAAATAATTTATAGAATGGTTCTGTTT